GAGAATATATGAGTATAATTGGCAAATAATGCTTTATGGTTATTATGAAAATAATTTTTACTCCATAGACCCCTTTAAAATGTCTCAAGGACCCTAAGTGTTCCCTGGACCACACTTTGAAAACTGATTCAGTAGAGTGACATCTTCCTGCCTGATATTTTTGGAATCAAGATAGTAAGTTCTACACTGCTATCTCCATCCCTTTAGCTGAGGTAGGTGGAATTTTGCTCTGAGGCTCAAAAAATAGGATACTTTATCTTCATATTTGCCAGCCTGTATTGGCCATTGATTTGCCCTAAAACTGAAAGAGAAAAGCATTGAGAGATTTGAGAGTTTTTAAGGATTCTTTCCATTCCTTACTTGCGTGTTATAAATGATGGACAGATACAGAGAAGAAGCCAAGTGTGGAGATACCTTCATACAGTGCTTTTATACAATGTTTTTAAAGTTTCTTAATCTAGGTGATTTTGTTCTATTTTTTAAATTTAATGTTGGGAAACAATGGGAGGTGGGTCTGAATGAAACCTCTGGTGAAAAAAAGACATGATTGAAATAATTACTGGAATAAATTACTGAGTCATTCTGGGTCTGATGTTTTATACATTTTAATGCATATTTTAATTGCTGTAATTTGAAAATATGCATCATGCACTTAGTTCCAATTCCCTACTTTTGGCAGTTCTGCATTATCAGGTTTAGGAGTGCTAGAGTTGACATTGATTATGCAGAATAATGTTATTGACAGGCTTTTGTTATAAGTGATATTTAATTTTGGGGGTCCTTTTCCTGCATTCCTTCTCTTTGCTAATATCTCTCCTTTCTTCTTTTAGCCAGTTAAATCAACTCGATTTCTAATGAAATTAACTAAAAAATTATTCTTCTGGGAGGCTGTTAGGAGCAGTATCCATGAAGGTGGGCTGTTGGGGATATAAAAATTCAAAGAGATTATAATAACCTGAAAAGTTTTAAGATGTCCACAAGGCAAAGTTACATAGCGATGCAAGGTTATATATAATTTAGTACCAGTATGAATGACAAACAGTAAATGTGCTGTTAGGTTTGACATTAGGAGGGAAATATGGCTAGGAGTTTTGGGAGGTAACTCTTCACAGAAGAATAATGCCTTTATTTATCCTAGGGATGCTACATTAAAAAATAAGGTTCTTCGCATTTACTTCTAACCCAAGAGTTTTCAGTGCTAACTTCGTAGCTAATCTTTATGAACTTGTTTTAAACTGGTATTTGGAACAAAATTGTATTTCCTAGTGGCAGATCAACAACTGGAGGCAGGAAGAAACTCTTAGGGAGCTATAACTGGTTGTTGAAGATTAGTGTTCTGTGTTTAATAAACACGTCTCCCTAAAATTGTAAGTAGACTGGCTTTAGGAAACACATAGGTAATTTTCATTTCTGTCTTTTTTGTTTTGTTTTGTTTTGTTTTTGAGACAGCTCACCGCAACCTCTGCCTCCTGGGTTCAGGCAATTCTCCTGCCTCAGCCTCCTGAGTAGCTGGGACTACAGGTGCGCACCACCATGTCCAGCTAATTTTTGTATTTTTAGTAGAGACAGGGTTTCACCATGTTGACCAGGATGGTCTCAATCTCTTGACCTCGTGATCCACCCGCCTTGGCCTCCCAAATTGTTGTGATTACAGGCGTGAGCCACCGCTCCTGGCCCTCATTTCTGTCTTACACATCCATTCAAAGCATTTGTCTGTGGCATTATTGTGATCTTGTGAGATAACTGTCTTCCTTAGGGAAGAGACACATTCTTTCTTCTAGTGTGGTCTCCCTTACTAACCATCTGGGAAAGAGGCTGCTGCTGAGATTGTTAGCTGGGATTCAGAAGGTGAATTTTATTCAGCAAACTTGGGTTAGCGCAAGAGGGTAAGATTTACATTGAGCCTGAATGTCTTAGTGATTGTATGGCCTTGGGCCAATTACTTAATTTTTGAGGATCTGGTCTATGAACACATATTTTTGGAAGATTTATTGTAGTAATAATGTTGAAGATAAAAGAAGGAGAATCTTGATACTCCAAAACCAACTATTTGGTTTGCTGCTTAATAGTCATGAGATAAGAACATGAGCTAAGACACTTGCTAAGAGACTAACAAAGAGGGAGCAGATGAAAGAGATTATTAAATGGAATCAATAAGTTTAGTGACCAATTGGATGCAGGTGGTATGAGAGTGGTATGGCTCTTGGCATGCTCTAGCTGCCAGAACTGGCTGTCTGACGTCATTTGCTGAGGTGTCTAAAAGAAAAGGGAATAGGGAGGTGTGGTGGGTGCGGAGTTTCACTTAGGTCATGCTGAATTTAAGGAAAGAATGAAGAGGAGTGGGGAAATTAATTACAGGTGTACAAGTGTGGCATTAGTTTATGTATTTTGGCCTGGAGGTCAAGGGAAATTTGGGAGAAATCAATTCTTTATGTGGTAGATGAAGCCATGAGTATGGATAAAGCCACCCAGGAAAAAAGTACAGAATGAGAGATCTGGGATTGCCCTAGATCAGGAAAAGTTGGCTGGCTGTCTTTCATGGGGTGGGGGACAAGGGGAGGGAAAGCATTAGGACAAACACCTAATGCATGCGGGGCTTAAAACCTAGATGACGGGTTGATAGGTGCAGCAAACCACCATGGCACTTGTATACATATGTAACAGTGCTGCACACTCAGCACATGTATCCCAGAACTTAAAGTAAAATAAAAATTAAAAAAAAAAGAAAAAGAAGGAAGGATACACAGAGAATGATAGCTCTTTCTCCAGGAAAACCACACACAGATATTTGTAATAAGTTCTAACTATGAAGCAAATTAGCTTTCAATACAGGACCTGTTTGGAAGGAATTTAAGGACAGACATGCTTACAGGGCTCAGCCAACAAAAGTCAGTGGTTGCTCCCCCCCAGATAGATGTGCACAGAGTCCCCTGGGGATAGATAGACAGGAACCCAGATGTGCTCCCGAGGGGTGGGTGCTCATATGTGCAGTGCTGTCCTTTCAGTTTCTTCAGGAAAGAAAACCAAGCTTTGAGGATCAGTGTTAGTCAAAGGCCGGGGCTCTCCTCCAGGAGATGAAAGTGGCAGCGTGGAAATAACCACATGTGATAATCCCCAAGAGGCAGCCAGCCACAAGGCAACTGGCAGAAGTCTGCTGCCTCAGTAACATCTTCCCAAGTTGCCCAAGGTCTGATCTCTGGTGTTTTGATACTGCCTCAACTCCCAAAAATATTTTTCTCTCTTCCTCTTTTTCTACCTTTATTTTTCTCCACTTGTTTAATTTATCATATATGTATTTTTTAGTTGCCTACTTGGTATTACACATTCAAATCTTGAATTATCCAAGATTATTCTATTAATATTTAGCAAATGTAACATGCTAAATGACTTGGGATTTCTGATTCTTTTATATCTTAGGCAGAATACAAATTGATTTTTTTTTAAAAAAGTTCCCTTATTCTTTTGATCTGCTTAAAAGTGACTTCAACAAAATTATTTTAATTAATTAATACAATGCTTTTATAACTGTAGTTTGTTCTTAATACTTTTATTGTCCTTTCTTCTCAATTTCTTTCCTTTTAAATTTCTTCTACTATAAACCACCAACATTCTTTTTCAGAATAAAATTATAGTTATAGTAATACTGTTCATATATTTAAAATATTAATATTAATAAACTAACATTTATTAACCTTTTACTGTGGGCAGGCCATAAATTTTCATTTAATCCTCCCAATGACTGTGAGGTGAGTACAGTACTGCTGTTATCCTCATTTTCATGATAAGGAGAATAGAGCACTGAATGTTGAGAAATGTGCCCAGGGTCATGAAATACCTAAGCAGATGGAACTTGAATTCATGGTGGCTGCTACCAGAGTCCCAGATCTTAGTTCTGTGCTATCGTGTTAGGCCTGTGGACCAGTCTGGCTTTTTAGCTGAGGAAACTGTGTTTCAAGTTAGAGACTGCAGAGAGGAACCAAAGCTGGTGTTGGAATGAAGACAAGGGCCCAGCAAAACCTGTCTCTGTCTCCTACCCTATTTTACCCAAACTTTCTCTCTATTATAGCCTTGACTTAACCTTACATAGGAACAGTGATAGTTTTTTATATTAGTATTTCATGCATAATTTTCTTGCTTGTGTGAGAAAAACATTGGTTATGTGTGGAGGAAGAACAGATGTACTTTTTGTTGTTGTTGTTTTTGAGCCTGAGTCTCACTCTGTCACCAGGATGGAGTACAGTGGCACACTCTCTGCTCACTGCATCCTCCGCCTCCCAGGTTCAAGCAATTTTACCTCAGCCTCCCAAGTAGCTGGGACTGCAGGCGTGTGCCACCATGCTCAGCTCATTTTTGTATTTTTAGTAGAGACAAGGTTTCACCATGTTGGCCAGGATGGTCTTAATCTCTTGACCTTGTGATCTGCCTGTCTCGGCCTCCCTAAATGGGGAGCAGATGTGAGCCATCATGCTGGCTGAAGTTTTGTTTTTTGTGGCTGGATATTTTTGAGCTTTAAAGGCTGCTGCTTACTGGAAGCTGTTGTATTAACCATTATTGATAGGTACAGTAAATGTTAGGAAAAATACCAAGTCTCATTAATCATGGATCTTCCAGTTGTGTCCAAGTTGAACATGTTTGGCAGCTAATACAAGCACATCGACCCTTTGAGAGCTTCATGAAAGATTAATTTGCAGAACAGCTATTGTCTAAGTGGAAAATAATAGGAAATGAGTTCAAACCTCAGTCCAGCTAAGATATTTTGAAATTTTAGTTTTTAAACTGATCAGTTGTTGAGGAAATAGTTTATAGTAAAGTAGACTTTTATTCCATCTTAATATAGAACTGATTAACATAGGTCTTCATAAGACAATTGTATGCTTAATGAAAATTTAATACCTTTTCTCAAATATTTTCAAAACATTCTAAAGATTAAAAAATACAAGTAAAACATTACATATTTTTTGCCTCACCATCCTTATCACCTTATTTTAAATATATGGGTTTTAAGAGTCAAATAATTGTTAATATATTCTGGCCAATCATTGGGAAAAAGATTTTTTTACAGTAGTTATACATTTATTAACTCATCAAACTAGCTCATTAGATGCCATGATGTTTTTCTTTCTTCTTCTTTTTAAAGACTTCATTTTTTAGAGCAGTTTTAGGTTCACAGCACAATTGACAGGGAGGCACAAACGTTTCTTATATGCCTTCTGTCCATGGTGTTTTTAAAAGTCAGTATTCCAATTAGTACATTATAAGTACAAAGAAACTGAAATGACTTTAGTACTTTATAGCATATTATATGCATTTTTGGAAACATTAAGTTATCTCTGGAACTCTTTCTATTAACAGAAATTATATGTACATATACATATGTATATGTGATTCATTTGTGTGTCTTATATAAATGTTATCACACTCTAAGCTTACATGTAGTATTTTTAGTGGTAGTAAGATATCTTGAATAAATGCACGAGGAGGAAGGAATGCAAGTGAAAGATAATGATGTTGTCATTTTTTCCTAGCTAGAGGAAGTCCAGGCTGGGCGTGGTGACTCACTCCTGTAATCCCAGCACTCTGGGAGGCTGAGGTAGGTGAATCATTTGAGGTCAGGAGTTTGACAGCAGCCTGGCCAACGTAGTAAAACCCTGCCTCTACTAAAAATACAAAAAATGCACAGGGGTCTCACTATGTCACCCAGACTGGAGTACAATAGAGCAATCATAGTTCTCTGCAGCCTTGAGCTCCTGGGCTCAAGTGATCCTACTGTGTTAGCTTCCCAAGTTGCTGGACTACAGGCATATGCCATCTTGTCTGGCTACTTTTTTTGTTTGCTGTTTTTAGAAATTAGGTCTCGCTATGTTGCCCAGGCTCATCTGGAACTATTGGCATCATGTGATCCTCCTGCCTTAGCTTCCCAAAGTGCTGGGATTACAGGCATGAGCTACCATGCATGGACTGAATAACAATCTTTAAAAGCATCTTCTTCATATTTAGATTATTTAGACTAATATACACCGTGTGCTATTATTTGCTACTTTGTACAAAGAAAACCGAATAAACAACCTGTGTAGATGTTATAAGCAATTTGGTAGTCAAACTAGTTCACATTAAAAAAAAAAATCCCTGATACCTGCATACCAACCTGAGGTTTCCCTTACCTTTGGGTTATTCTCCCCTCTATCTTAGAGTTCCCCTTTGGACTCAAGCCCTCCCTTTACACCTTCCCATTTGGAAGCATTTGCTGCTGGGCCCAGTAGCTCATGCCTGTAACTTTAGCACTGCCGAGGCAGGCAGATTGCTTTAGGTCAGGAGTTTGAGACCAGTCTGGCCAACATGGAGAAACCCTGTCACTACTAAAAATACAAAAAAAAAAAAAAAAAAAAAAATTAGCCAGGCGTGGTGGTGGGTACCTGTAGTCCCAGCTACTCAGAAGGCTGAGGTAGAAGAATTGCTTGGAACCTGGGAGGTGGAGGTTGCAGTGAGCTAACATCAGGTCATGCACTCTAGCCTGGGCAACAGAATAAGATCCTGTCTCAAAACAAACAAACAAAAAGAAAGCATTTGCTCCATCATGAAAGAGACCAGCACATTGGCAGATCGTCAGTCATTCCTATTCTTGTCTTCCAAAGCAGTTCCCCTTCATATATGGCAAGAAAATATTATTTTCCAAGTATGCCAACAATTTGCTGTTTAATCCTCTGGACTTTAGTTGGAACTTAAAGGGTGGCTCTTTTTTTCCTACCATCTTATTTCAAAAGGACTATTACTCGCCTGCCATTCTTGATTCATACCAATCACAGCCAACAACTTGAGGTACAAATCCTTGTGTGCTGTTAGTTTACTTGGAGTCAGTGAGGGGTTTTGCTTGTCAGAGAAGTCAGCATTTCCAAGAATGGAGAGGAGAGAAAAGAATAAATTATTTTGCATTGCTTTAAAGTGGTTCAGATTTACACAGAAAGAATTCAGCATTAGCCATATCACCTGGAGTTCACAGTTATCAACTAGACTGAAAAAATGTGCAGGTGCTTGTATAGTGTGAACAAAATTTGCACTTCTTTTGCTAAAGAGCAAGCTGTGCTTGTCACTGTTTCTGAATTTGACTCTGGACACTCTCTGGCAGCCTATTGAAGAAGTCACTCACTGATCAGAGGCAGAACTTGTCTTAGCATGCACAGAGAATCATTTGCTCATGTTCTGCCCAAATCACAAGTCACCCTGCTGGGATGTCTGAAGGTGCAGATGAAAAGACAATGCAGGACATGTGAACTTAACTGAAGTGAGATAATTCCCAGGAAATCCATGGTTTTCATTTTGTAGGTCTTCTAAGACCTATTAATGGCAATTTGCAGAAAACTCAATAGATTACTGACACCAGGTGGTTAGCAACATTTCAAACTCTCCAGCACAGAATTCTTTGATTTTTTTTTTTTTTTGAGGTTAGCTGATTTATTTATTTTTGTTTAGGTAAAAATGACATAAGAGTCACTATTTTAACCATTTTAAAGAGTACAGTTTATTGACTTTTAGTACTTAGCACATTTCTTTTTTTAAATTCTTTTCTTCTTCTTCTTTTTTTTTTTTTTTTTGGTGGTAGGGTCTCACTTTGTCGCCCAGGCTGGAATGCAAGTGCCAGTAATATGATCTTGGCTCACTGCAGCCTCTGCAGTTCAGGTTCAAATGAGAATTCTTTGAATTTTTAAACACTAAGGCCATGAAGCACCTTAGCAATCATCTATCCCTATTAATTGGGATATCCCATCATCTATCCCTATTAATTGTACACATTATAAACCTGAGGCCAAGTGAGCCCCTTACTTGCCTGAGGTCTATATAGCGGTAGCGCCAGGATTCCTGACCTTCAGTACTGCTGTCTTTCTACTAGTTCAAATCCAACAATATGATTACCAATTATATGCTTGTCTCTCCAGAAGATGATTATTTACTTGGGAAAAATCTATACGCTTCCAAATACTTCAATTCCTATCCAGTCTTATCCACGAGAGAAGTGGGCCAAGTCTAAAGACCGACCATTATGCTTGTAATGGTGGAAATGACTAATCTGTTTGGGTAGGTACCGTTACATGTTCAACACAACTAAGCAAATCCCCATTTCTGATTCCATGGTCACTGGGCAACAATCTTTTTATAGTTTGGCCTGTTGTGTAGGCCTGCCTATGGGAAGAAAATATTTTAATGGTGCTGAAGGGAATTTTCCAGTCTGTATGATACTTAAATTGTTCATGATGTTTTTAATAAGTTGGTATTTAGGTTTTATCTTTTAAAAAGGCATCCTAAGGCAAGAGTTGTATTTTCTGCAGAAATTCTATTGTACTAAAAGGTTTATATGGTTAAAACATTTTTTTGGTAGGGCATATGAGTGAGTCTGAAAGCTAACATTGCAATAATTAAAAAAGAGAGCCCTCCACAAATGTTTCTTTGAAATGATTATTTCTTTAAAATTATTCTTTTGTCTTAATTGGATGTTTAAGCCAAAATACAGATTATGAAAATAATGCTGCAAATCTTTTGAAGTTCACAAACTTTATTTCACCCTATTACCTAAAGAGCTGAAATATTTTTGAGGTACCTTTATACAGTTGTATAAACTTACAAATATATAGTTTTATAATCCAGGTAACTGAAGATACATAACACTCTCAAAACGGCGTCCAATCAGGTGCTACTATAATTTCCATTACTCTTTGTGAAGATTCTCTTAAGTTTATAGTTCACTATTTCAGATTATCTTTAGTTCAATGCCAAATTTATTGGTATAGGAAGAAGCAAGGAAAATGAAGTTAAAATACTCTTTTACATTTTACTGTTGCTTAATCTATATAGAGATTACTGTTGCTATTTCAAATAAACTTTAATGAACTTGCATAGAAGTACCTGTCTTTCATTAGTGGGGAAATGAGACAGTCTTTGAAATTAACAAGATAAGATTGTGAAACATATGTACTCTGCATTGTTGACATTTCAGAAGTGAGTACTGAACTGGGAAATGCAGGTTGTAGTGTATGCCAACCATGAGAAAATGCTTAATTTTTTTTTTTTTTAATTTCAGTTCTGTCTTAGTCTGCTCAGGCTGTCATAACAAAATACCATAAATTAGGTGGCTTAAACAACAGAAATTTATTTTATCTCAGTTCTGGAGCCTGGAAGTCTGAGATTAGGCTGCCACCAGCATGGCCAGGGACTGGTGAGGGCCCAATTCCTGGCTTCTTGACAGCCACCTTCTCATTGTATGCTCCCATGGCATTCCCTTGGTGCTTAGAAAGCAGAGAGATTGTTCTCTCTTCCTCTTCTGATAAGGCCATGAATCTATCAGATTATGACCCCTCCATTATGATCTAATTTAACCCTTAATTACCTCCCCAAAGCCCTGTCTCCAAATATAGTCACATTTGAGGGTTAAGGATTCAACCTATGAATGTAAAGAGAGGGTAATATAGTCCTCAGCAAGTTCTTTGCTATGTAAGATGCCAGCTCCAGCGGTTACAGCCTATAGTCTTAAAACCAATTAGGCAATATAATGTCAGTTTTGATCTCTCAATACATTTTCCCCAAGTATGTTTTGTTAGATTTTCCCGGGAAGAATCATTTATAATTCTCATTGCATTAAACTGCTCCTCAGGGGACAGATGCCAATCTCTAGCGTTTATAAGGTTTATGCGACTTTCAACAGCCTTGTAGCACTCTAGTTGGTGGGCTTAACGAAATTTGATTCTAAAAAATATATTAAAACTGCATCTCTGTCTAATAGTTTTCCCCCCACGCCCCCTGAGATAAGAGTCTTATTCGCTCTTGAACTGCACTCTCACCCAGGCTGGAGTGCAGTGGCACCATCTTGGCTCACTGCAACCTCCGCCTCCCAAGTTAAAGCGGTCCTCTCGAGTAGCTGGGATTATAGACACATGCCATCATGGCAGGCTAATCTTTGTGTTTTTAGTAGAGATGGGATTTCGCCATGTTGGCCAGGCTGGTCTTGAACTCCTGGCCTCATGTAATCTGCCTGCCTCAGCCTCCCAAAGTGCTGAGATAACAGGTGTGAGCCACCACTACTGGCTGTCATTTTTGTTGTTGTTGTTGTTGTTTTGAGAAATAGTGTCTCTCTGTCACCCAGGCTGGAGTGCAATGGCACGATCTTGGCTTCCTGCAACGTCTGCCTCCCGTGTTCAAGCGATTCTCCTGTCTCAGTCTCTTGAATCGCTGGGATTACAGGTGCTCGCCACGATTGCCCATCTAATTTTTGTATTTTTAGTAGAGACAGGGTTTCATAATATTGGTCAGGCTGGGCTCAAACTCCTGACCTCAGGTGATCCACCTGCCTCTGCCTCCCAAAGTCCTGGGATTACAGATGTACGCCACTGTGCCCTGCCTGTCATTTGGTTTTTAATCTCCAAATATTAACCATCATTCTGCAGGTATGTTCCTGCAAATGACTTGCACCCTGATAATATATTTATCAATTTGAGTATTTTATGCATGTTGACATAAGAAATCACTAATAGACTTTACAGAGATGAACATAGACTGAATATATTTGTAACAATTTTGCCTTTATAGATGTCTGTACACTTTGCTATGAGACACAGCCTATAACTTTACTATTCATTTAAAACATTTATTAATGATTTGAGATGTAGCTGCCAGGCAGTGAGCTCGCTGCTGGGTACACTGTAGGAAAAAAATGTGCTTTTGCTATTAGGAGTTTACTGTTTTAGGCAAAACAGTCCAAAACACACAAAGTAATGTATTAAGAGCTGTGAGAAGACTCTCTATAGCTTAGAGTCAAAGGACCCAGGAAGAAAGCTAACACAGACTGAGTAGCACTTCTAAGGGTCTTTTTCAAAAGCATTTTATTCCTCCCACAAAATGTAAAGATCATAAGGGATTGTAATATGTGCTTAAAAGCATTGGAAGAACAACTATATACATGAATTGTATTTGTGAGCTTGTGATACCCACTAACAACCACTTTCTAAAAGACTATTTTCAGTTGCTCTTTTTATTTCATATACAAAAAAAAAGTTTAAAGAAGGTTTCCAAGATAAATGTAAATGTTGATATATTTGAGGTCTTGAAATGAATATTTTTCATGAGTCCTCCTTTTCTGATGATGAAGTTTTTGTCTTCCACTCTATCCTGTAATGGACAATTAAAGAGAGAATTTTAGATTAAGATCTAAAATTAATCAATTAATTAACTGAAGTTAATCAATTCAGTTCTCTCTGTGTCCTTTGCCCTCCCCACCCCAACTCAGAGTTCAGATTAATTCACCTACTTAGGGACACTTTCTCTGAACCCTCAGGCTAAGTCAAGGCCCCTCAGATGTAGGATTGCCAGAAAAAGATACAGGGCATTCAGTTCAACCGAACTATTTATTTATTTATTGGAGATGGAGTCTCCCTCTGTTGCCCAGGCTGGAGTGCAGTGGCGCAATCTCGGCTCACTGCAAACTCTGCCTCCCAGGTTCAAGCAATTATCATGCCCCAGCCTCCTTAGTAGCTGGGATTAAAGGTGTGTACCACCACAACTGGCTAATTTTTGTATTTTCAGTAGAGATGGGTTTTGCCATGTTGGCCAGGCTGGTCTTGAACTCCTGGCCTCAAGTTATCTGCTGGCGTCGTCCTCCCAAAGTCCTGATGTTACAGGTGTGAGCCATTGTACCTGACCTAGTTCGACTGAACTTTGGATAAGCAACAAATAATTTTATGGCAGAAGTATATTTTATATGTTGCATAGAACATAATTTATACTAAATTTTTTATTGTCTATCTAAAATTCAAATTTCACTGTGCATTCTGTATTTTATTTGCTAAATCTGGTAACCCTACCTAGAAATACAGTTTCACAGAAACCTGTGCATTCCTTCATTGTAGCCAGCAGATTTTGCAATTTAATATTGTTAAGGTCCTTGCACTCCATGTGTTTCCAAAAGGTCAAAACTATGTTTAAAGCTTAGCTTTTTTTTTTTTTTTTTTTTTTTAAGCTCATTGTGATATTCTTAGTACCTAATCTAGTGCCTGGGCTACACAAGTATTTGTTGCCTGAACTAATAAACATGTGAATGGATGATAAACAAATACTTGGATAATAAACAAATAGTTTACATGCATCCTGGTAACTATTTTTCAACTCTAGTACAAACTCTTTTTACTGATGTTTAAGCCTTTCCTTAGTATTGCCAGTGTCTTTTTTTTTTCTGCATTAACTCCCACACAGTTTGGATTGCTCACTATTTCCTCAGCTAATGTTGCATTTTCCATATTATTTGCCCTCTTTCCATCATTGCTCATACCCATCTCATATATGTTACTTCCTTGTTAAAGGCAGCTACATAATATGACCTCATTATGCTTTTTAAGACTCATGTCACTTCTATGTTGGATCATTATTTGTTGTTTTTCTCATTCTTTACATCAGTATGCAAGATTATCTGCCTTATTAGACAGAAGTTTATCTTGTGTTCTGTAATACCCAAATATTAGACATAGCAGCTAATTCTACAGATTTTGCTGAATTGAATTTACAGTGGTGAAACTTAACATAGAATTTTAGGGATGGAAAGGGTCATGTAGGAAGGTCATTTCTTCAAATATGTCATTTAATGACAAGGAAAGTATAAGAAAAAGAACTCTTGGGTTTTAGTCTAGTCAGTGTGTCTTCTAGCAAGTATGTCAAATGTGGTCTTTATTTCTACTGCTAAATAGGTAAGATGAACACATTTAACTATACCAGGCCTGTTTGTGTTGTTACTATTTGTTTTGCTGTTTAATTCTGTGAAGGAGGGATTCGAAATAGAACATAGTTCCTTTAAAAACTAAAAGTCTGTTTGAAACGATGTAGTAGAGTGAGAGTAACAATGAAGATTATTCTCACAAAAATAGGCAGAAAACAGTACCCTTAAAATATATATTCATATATATATATATATATATATATAATATTGAGTATTTCCTACACAGTTGTAGCTGCAATTGTTCTGAGCATAGCCTAGAACTTTTTGCAGTGTTGACTTTATATAACATGCTCATTATGTGTTGCTGTAAAACACTAATGTT